ATGTGGGTTTACGGTGGATTAGGGCCTAAATAGCTCGCTGCCCGGAACCTGTTCACCGATCAAAAATGCTTAAATTGCCCGAGTGTTGCACCAATTGGATTCATGGATTAAAGGTTGGAAATTAGGCAATTTAGGGGCTTAATTGGGCTTAGTTAAGGCTTAATTAAATGTATTTGGTGGTTGGATGGTTAGGGTAGGTGATTAGGCCCTAATGAGATTGTTTAAGTGTGGTTTAGTATCTAAATAGTACCCTGTTCTGGTACTGTTCACACAGAACCGAGATTGTGCAATTTGCCTAAGTTGGGACTTATTTAGTCCATTGATTAATGACTTGGTGTTAGACAATTGGGTGACTATTGAGAGCTTGTATAAACCCTATTGGAGAAACCCGTGATGGTGAGGTTGTCTAATGAAATCGTTGTGTCCAAAGCGGACCTTCGGCGTATTAAATTGCCTTGGAATGATCGAGAGGAATGAGTGCCGAATTGATTGAATTAGAATGGGAATTAATTGGATTTATCGAGAGTGTGTCCAATTCGTTGAATTGATGGACATTAGTATTTGATAATTTGGCTTTGGTAATTGGCATGAATTCCCGGGCATGTGAAATGCATATCGTGTTGTTAAATAACTGGATTGAATGCATCATTATAAATGCCTATCGATTTATCAGACTATTGGCCTTCGGGTCGGGCCTATGGGTCGATTTATCAACTGTGGCCTGGGTCGGGCCACGGGTCGATTTATCAAGCTGTTGGCCCGGGTCGGGCTGCGGGTCGATTTAACAAACTTGTTGGCGCCGGGTCGGGCCACGGGTCGTTTTATTAAATTGTGGGCATTCGGGTCGGGCCTACGGGTCGCTATATTCAATTGTGGGCCTTCGGGTCGTTATAATTGTGCATGATTCACATTGAATTCAAATGCCTAACTTGCAGGGCTGAGATAATGAATTGGGCTGTGAGCCCGAGCAAATTTATAATGATTTACTGGTTCATGAGTTCATTGTGTCGATTTACCTATCCGGAGGTGCACGTTAGCCTAGTTTAGGATTATGGGTTTTGTACTTGCTGAGTTTTATCTCACGGTTGTTGGAAAATCGATATTTCAGACCCCCGGCAGTAAAGATGGCGGAGTCGCTCATGCGTTTTGGGATTCCCCACTTCATTGAGAAGACGATGTCTGTACACCCAGTGGGGGACGGAAATATGTACATTAGGTATTATACTTTCGCATGGGCTATATCTTTTTGACTGAAGCCCATCTTAGCTCAGTTTAGTACCCCGGCCACTGATCCTTTTTGTTCGTCTTGGCCGCTACTCGTTTTTGGTTTTGGCTCTTTGTAAATGGATTTTGTATAAGCTTATATATGGTTATAAAAGAATATAGTTATTTTTATTTGCTGATCACTCGTGTGCGGTTATCCTTGGCTCGTGTTTATTTTGTCTGGGTGATATATATTTATTTATATATCGTGCTTTCGCTTGTGGCTTGATCTCTGTGTTGGGTTTTGGGTCGGCGACATGTTCTGGGAGCGTCGCACTACCATTTCGACCTATAAGCGGGATGCTCATGCTTCGTGGGGTGTGACACGTCGGGGCTGACAGGGACAAATTTTTATAATATTTTAATATTTTTTCAATTTTTTAAATATTTTTCTAATTTTTTTTCTTTTTTTCCTTCTTTTCTTTTTTAACTTATTTTTCTACCTTTGGCCGGTGACCGGCCACCGGCCATGGCCGGCTACCTGGCCTCGCTCGAATGAGGCCGCCGTCGCCCGCCACAAGTGAGGCCCGGCTTACCCTCGCCTGAGTGAGGATGGGCGAGCCCCGACGAGGGTCAACTTCGCCTTGCCTGGGCAAGGGCGAGCCCCGGTGAGGGCTCCCCTCGCCAGATCCGGCGAGGCCAGCCCTTGCCCAAGCCACAGCAGCCTCGCCGGATCTAGCGAGGCAAGGCAAGGCCAACCCTCGCCGGGGCTCGCCTGCCCTCGCCCAAGTGAGGGTCGACTGGGCCTCGCCTGTGGCAAGCGACGGCAGCCTCGTCCAAGTGAGGCCAGGCGGCCGGTCACCGGCCAAAGGTAGAAGAGGAAGAAAGAAAAGAAAAGAAGGAAAAAAAGAAAAAAAAATTACAAAAACTATTTAAAAAATCGAAATATGCACATGGAAATGTCACGTAGACTTATTTTTTTTATAAAAAAATCCAACTCAAATTAAAATTTTAATTATAAAAGCCACGTATTAATTTGACCGGAGTTTCTCGCCGTCGGCATTTAAGTGATCGTTTTTCTTCCAATTTGCCACTTAAGTGAGCCGGCAAAAATTTTTGGCGCTAAAATAAGTGCTGTATATAAGTTTTAGCACTTCTAGTATTTTTTTCCTAATGGAAAAGAAAGGACACAATCATATGTTTGGACAGAGAGAAAGAGACGAAGAAGAAAAGATTGGGATGTCTTAGGAGTAGGGCCAACGGTTTTATGTTTGTGTGTAACCATTCCTAAAAGGACACAATCATATGTTTGGACAGAGAGAAAGAGACGAAGAAGAAAAGATTGGGACGAAGAAGAAAAGATTGGGATGTCTTAGGAGTAGGGCCAACGGTTTTATGTTTGTGTGTAACCATTCCTAAAAGGACACAATCATATGTTTGGACAGAGAGAAAGAGACGTAGAAGAAAAGATTGGGATGTCTTAGGAGTAGGGCCAACGGTTTTATGTTTGTGTAACCATTCCTATCATTTCATGACGTTACAAAAATATTTCAACGTAATTAGAAAAAGGATATTCATAATATGAGTGAAAACATATCAATTCGTATCGATTTTGAGTTAAGTCGCATCCGGTCATGTCAAGTTCGCATTTCTCTCTACAAATCCATGTCGGATTCGGATTGTGTTCTCGTATCATATCGAAAAACGTTACCCTTAATTACGAGAGATGTGAAGGATCGGTTCGATCAATTTTATGTAATTTTTTAAAAATATTTTTGAATCTCTCCAAATATGGAGGGGGCGTTACGGGATTTGAAGGGATACATGTATTAATAAACACAATTAATTTTTTTGGATACGTGTATTAATAAACACAATTGATTTTTTTTTCTCATCTGCACCCTTTTCTTACTTCTATTTGTATTCCCTCCTACTCCCTAGTATCACTCAATAATTTTAGGGAAAATATAACCAAAAATTCCAAACTATACCATTTGTGATAAATTTACCCTGAACTTTTTTTTGTGATACGAAAAACCCTAAACTATGCTACTTGTGATAAATTTACCCTGAACTTTTTTTTGTGACATGAAAAACCCCAAACTATACCACTTATGACACATTTACCCCACAATACTTTGGCCCATGGGCATTTTCTTCTTTTTCCTTTTTTCTATTTTTTTTCCTTTCTTCTCTTTTCCCTCCGCCGGCCATGGCGGACGGAAGCCGGCGAGGGCGACCCTTGCCGGCGTCGAGCGAGAGTCGCCCTCGTAGGGGCGGGCGAGGGCAGCCCTCGCCAGATTCGGCAAAGGCAGCCTTCACCCCACCCTAGCGCCGGCAAGGGCCACCCTCGCCGGCTTCCTTCCGCCATGGCCGGCGGAGGGAAGAGAGAAAAAAAGGAAAAAGATGAAAATGCCCATGGGCCAAGTATTGTGGGGTAAATGTGTCACAAGTGGTATAGTTTGAGGTTTTCGTGTCACCAAAAAAAAATTAGGATAAATTTATCACAAATGACATAATTTGGGATTTTTTGTGTCACAAAAAAAATTCAGGGTAAATTTGTCACAAGTGACATAATTTGGAGTTTTTGGTGATATTTTCCCATATAACTCAAATCCTTGTCAATTCTTTCTTGGGTTAATACCACGAAAAACCCTAAACTGGTACAGTTGTGACAATTTTACCCTAAACTATTTTTTTGACCACAAAAAACTCTAAACTGGTACATTTGCGACAAATTTATCCCGAACTATTTTTTTGACCACCAAAATCCTCGAAGTGGTATACTTGTGACAATTTTACCCCAACTAAATTTTTAATATTATTTTTTGTTTTTTCGAATTTTTTTATTAATTTTTTTCTTTTTTTCCTTAATATTCTTCATTTTCAACCTCTGGCCGGTCGCCGGACCACTGGCCGACCGGCCAGAGTCGGCGCTTGGAGGCTCGGCCTCGCCGTGCCGGCGAGGCGGCCTCGACTTCTTGCGCCTGGCTCGACCTCGCCCGGCGAGGCGGTCGAGCCTCGCCCGGATCTAGTGAGGGCTCGGCCCTGCCGCCGGGCGAGGCTCGAACTCGCCGGTCGGCTGGCGAGGTCGGCCACGCTACGGCCGGCGGAGTTCGAGCCTCGCCGGATCTCGTGAGGGCTCGGCCCGGCGGCGTTGGGCGAGGTCGAGCCTCGCCAGATCCGGCGAGGGCTCGGCCCCACCGATTGCTGACGAGATCGGCCTCACCCAGCAACGGCGAGGTTGGCCTCGCCCAGCGCCGGCGAGGTCAAGCCTCGCCAGCGGCTGGCGGGGCCGAGCCCTCGCCAGATCTGGTGAGGCTCGACCTCGCCCAGCGCCGGCGAGGTCGAGCCTTGCCAGCGGCCAACCTCGCCGGCTTCCCGGCTTCCGACTCTGGCCGGTCGCCGGTCCGGCGACCTACCAAAAGTTGAAGATGAAGAATATTAAGGAAAAAAAGAAAAGAAAAGCAAAAAAAAAATTAATAAAAAAATACAAAAAAAATAAAAAATAATATTAAAAAATTAGTTGGGGTAAAATTGTCACAAATATACCGATTCGGGGTTTTTGATGGTTAAAAAATATAATTCGAGATAAATTTATCACAAATGTACCAGTTTGAGGTTTTTTGCGATCAAAAAAATAGTTTGGGATAAAATTATCACAACTGTACCAGTTTAGGGTTTTTCATGGTATTAACCCTTCTTTCTTCTTCTTTCCTCCCTTAACCATCACTTCTTTTCCTTCTTATTCACCCCATCTAAAATGAGTTTTCTTTCCTAATCACTCCATCCAAAAATTGAGTGAAAATGGGATTTGAACCGAGGCCATATCTATAACATTTGAGGGCAATGAAGCATTCGAGAAGAGAACCACCATCCCCATTGAAAAGAAATGAACATCTTCTTCCCCGTTAACAGTCCCTAAGCACCACCCCCCCCCACCAAAAGAAACCTCACCGGCCTCTTTTAGCCCAAAGAATCACAATGACACCTCCACAGAGGAACTTGTATCAAGTGATCTCTAATCTCCCTAAATGTTAAAAATGGACAGACCCATTCTTCCTCCTCCTTTCTCTCTCTCATTCTTTTGTACTTGGACAAAAAACTACTCTCTTCCCTCTCTACACATGAACCTACGACACCGAATGCCTCCTACTCCTCGACGGCGTGGACTTGGTGTCCCCTGCGTTCCCCGAGCCGGGACTCTCCGATGTGTCCGAGCTGCTGATCTCTCCCTGCCTCTCCTTGCTCGACCACAGCTTCGAGAAGATCTTCGAGACGAGCAGGCCCTTCATCTTGGCCTTCTCGGCGTTGCTGTTCTTGAGGCTGTCGTGGTTCCCGTTCTTCTCTCCCAACCTCAGGCTGGCGAGCTCGCCTTTGAGGGCCTTGATCTCCTCTGCAGTCGGGACGCCGTCCCAGTCCTCCTCGGTATTGGTATTGGTGGTGGCGGACCTGGAGCTCCCGTGGGACCCACCGGGGAGCAGCGCGGCGATGGGCCCCGGCAGGGTAGGCGTGGTGTTGCCAGAGGAGGTGGTAGTGGTCCGCATCTGCTCGAAGAAGAGGACTTGCACCACCACACGCAGCGGGAGCCGCTCATTCTGCACTGCGTGCATGCAGGCGTCAGCGGACAGCTTGCTGCAGTCCATCATCTTGCAAACTTTCTTCCTCTCGCTCTTGCTGATGTCCGGGTGTTCCTGCACAAGACCAAGCTTGAGTTTAGCGCATTTCCAAAGAACCAAAAGTATCATCACTTTCTCATCTACTTTATTTTCACAGGCATATCCATGAATTCACTTATAAGTTAGTGGCATTTATTTTCTATGTTTGTTCGTAGCTGTAAAAAAATTGTCAGATGACCCAGAGATTGTTTTGCGTGAACGCACCTTCAGGTACATGTCAATGGCCCGGTAAAGCCCATCATGAGTTGCTCTCGGGAAAGCCGAGATCAGATTGGCAAGACCGACAAATCTCAACACTGGCAAATTCGGGTCCCGTGCAATCTCAGCAAGGTAGCCATCTATCAGCCTTGCCACCCTCGCCATGGCATCAGATCCTCGTTGATGGGGCGTTTTGAATTCGTGGAATTCACTATCAACAGTGGGATCAGCCTGAGCACACCGATTATGCATAACAAACTCCTCGACTAGACTTTGCACAGTATCTACATCATAGAGCATCTCTTCGCCATCAGGGGCCCGGAACAGAAGGTCAGGGAACACAGCTTCATCGAGCTGCTGGCCGATTCTCCTTCTCAGTTCGTTCTTCTCCATTTCTCCACATTCCAACAAAATTACCGCTCTCAGCAACCTAAGCAAGAAGCTACACGAAACGCTTCCCTCCTCTACAGGAAGCAGCCAGAGAATAGTCTCCACCAAAGATCGATGCTTCGCCATGTCATTAGTCTGGATCACACCCTTGGCGAAACCGGGCAACCGTCTTAGTGCATATGCACTTAATGCTTCTCCTATCACTTCACTGGAAATCATATCTTTTGCCATGATTGTTGTTATCACTCGCTTATACAAGTCTATCTGGAGCTCGCACAAATCTTCAACCCACCAGTCCTTTGGGACCACCTGCTGTTTCCTTACCCCGTTCCAGTGAGGATCGCTGCCGTTTTCCGAAGGGAGTTTCTTCCTGTTGTAAGTGTAAGACCAATCCACCTTGGAAGTGTCAATCGAAGCCTTGGAAGAGATCGAGTCAAGGCAGCGGCTGACCACCTTAAGCTCCTCGGACCATGGACGAAGGGATTTTGTGGTTTGGAGAACAATGATCGAGTCTTTCCAGCTGCGTAAAATGCTCGAGTTAAGGAAAACCTCGATTTTGTAGATGAGATTCCCCTTTTCAATAGTCTCATACATCTCGAGGTACTCCGCTGCACAACGAGCCGCAACTACATTGTATGCGTTGAGAGTGACCGTCATCCCGTAACAAAACTTGACACATATTTCGAAAGCGGCAGGTCCACCTGGAATATCTCCAATCTGGATTTCATCACTGTTGTCATCATTTGCACTTGCGACCAACTTCTGCAACCGCGCACTCTTCGACAAAAGAGGAAACTACAAGAGGCAGACATATTCATCATATGTAACATCACCGAAAGTAGCTGCTCATGATCACAAGTAGATCAGAATAGGAGGAGCTCTGAATTGTGTGGTTTGTAAAGGTCCATCCAGATGATTTACAAGCTTTATTTAATTCCTGATTTCCAATTATTAATCAAAACTGGGGACTAATTGCTACTACAGTTTACTTTCATTAGTGGTTTATATAAAAACTTCTCAAGGACCGCATTATTATTCAATTTCAATGTGCCAAGTCAATATACAGCAGAAATGTACATCTAGATAATCACGATCTGACTCCCTTACCTTGTGCAGATAAAATTTAATATCCCCAATGCTGATCACAATATCAGTTGCCAGCTCGGTTGCAACATACCTGTAAACAAAGATAGAGGCAGTGAATGAGAATAATTTTACTGTTCAAGGTATGCAAGTAGATAATTGATATATAAAACAAGCAGGGCACATAGAATAGAGGCACGTGTGATGCAACTTAGGCTAGCAATGTCGTATCAAAGATAAAAGTCTCAAGTAGCAGAATCAAAAGAAGAAGTAATGCTACAATCGGCCATACAGGTCATGAACTAATGGGAGTAAATATATTTTCTGAAAGCATAAACATGGTAAAAGCACCTTCTTTTTCTTTTCTAAAGAAAGACAACGTAACTTGAACCTCTCTAAAGGCAAATACAAGGTGCTCTAGAGGCTAGGCTATTTTTGTAAATAAAAATCTCAAAATCGAAACTGACAGGCAGATGCTTTTTTCATGTAAATCGAATCTCTCGACATAACTTTGGATACAAAGAGAGTGCTGATCAAATGTAAGAATGGGGACAAACTCAACGTGAGAACTGATGCTAAATTATGTTTACTTAGAGCCTGACACGGGCCAAACAAACATTGAGAATATAAGCTTGCTTTTCTGTGAGTAAGACCCACCGAACCAAAGAGCAACACTAGTACACTGGTAGTGCATGAACATGACAACCATAGAGGAATTAAAATATCATGTGACCGCTTTCTTGATACCCTCTTGAAGTTAGCTACCTCAAACAGACGAGTGTAATTTTCTTATCAAACAGACAAGATGCCATCGGGCAGTGGAATAGCTCCTTTACATTTAAGAGGCGGAATCAAGATGTTACTACACCTCGTTTATTATATTTTAAACCTAAAGCAGCAGTCAAAAGCATCAATGGGCAGTTTGCTCTGTTCAAATTAGTTTACCTTAGACACCACATGATTGCAAAATTAACTTTCATGCAACTGCATAAGTATTAGTAGGAAAAAGAATTGTTCATCTCTAGCTGCATTAAACTCATGCTTGCATAATTAGATGTTAGATTAGCTTAGATACTAGCCTAGTAGTCGGATGCACGAATCAGTCTCTTCAAGCCCTAACAGCATGCAGGGCTCCTATTTTTTAACTACATAGATGATAGAGAAGTAAAGCAATAGGTTCACTGCATCAAACCACAACTTGACATGCCTACTAAAATTGCCCCTGCATTCCTGCCCCGAAAAAATAATCACTTTGCTTAGACAGCCCTGTCGATTGAATCCATAAAAAGAACAAGCACACTGAAAAATTCACCTCAGGCAATTCTATTGTGAAATAAAAATTGTTAAACGTAAAAGTTCCCAAAAGCATATTGAAATCTACAAGTAAACATAATTAGGCTAGATCGCAAAAAAAAAAAAGTAATTTGGCTAGAGAAGCAGCATACATACGGTTGAACAAAGATAAAGCACGAAGACACAGGAACAGAATGCAGACATTGAAATCCTAGTGGAAATGGAAATAAGCCTAGGGCTTTATTTTGTAGCATAAAGGAGAAATTCAGTCCTTCTGGCATCACAGTTGAGAGGCAGAGTAATATAGCAACTATGGAAAATGGTAATCACCGCATTGTAACCTTATCTTTCCTGAGTCTTTGTGGTACGAAAATAATAAGGAACATAAAACCTATACCAAGTAAAATCAGCTCCCCAAATGTTTGCCGTCGATTTAGTTATAGATACAAAAAGCCCAGGTCTGCAAAATATTGGTTGTTAACAGATAGCTCAAGCCAGAGATTTAAGGCCACCCGAACAAAATGGGGAACGAATAGATTGCAGAAGCAATCTTAAAGATACGATCGTGTAATAATAGAAGTAAAAAACCAGATGCATCGCAGTCAACAGTATTAAGAAACGCAAAGCCCGAGAGCAAGAACAGGGCAAAAAAAGCATCTCGGCCAAAACATCCCAGAAAAGGTAGTTTGCCTAAAGAGGATCTCAAGATTTACCTTATATTTTCCCCATCACCCTGAAAAGAATCCGGCTTGGATCCAAGTTTCATAAACTTCATCTTGCCAAACGAAAGATCTACTTCTCCGATTTATCCTCCGAAAACCAATTCAGAGCTTCCTGTGACACATAAATTCCGGCCACTACTGACTGCAAATCTCTCTCTCCCGTGGAAAAAAGTACAGAAAATCCCGATGTAGGAATTGAACTTTTGGCAGCTAAAATTTGTGGTGCAATTTAAGATGAGAGTGAGAATGAAAGAAGAGAAATTTTTGGAGTAGTGAATGTATATTTCTTAGTATGACCGAATCTTTCCCACTAACCAAGGCCACAGGAGGAGGAGTGTGAAATGGAATTAATAAATTAAACTTCACTTGAATGGGAAGAGACCCAAAAAAAGAACTTGCCCCCTAAATTAGCTACACAGAGCACGGTCCCCGGGCAAAAAGGGTCAGCAAAGGAGACACAGCCAACACATCCTCAGAGAGTTTTTACAAAAATTCTCAAAGCCACACTGTGAATGTGAAACACCCACTAGCATAAAACCTGACACCACCAACGCCTATGTTATTTGTTTATCTGTCTCTCATCCTGCATGTTTTATCCTCCCAAAGACTTTCTCATACCCATATAACTCCAGATTCAAGACCCCCTTCGCTCAGCCACAAGTTTAAGAGGAAAAACCCAAAACCCAGAACAGACTCCACTTTCAATTCACAGATCTGGCGTCCCCCATTTGCTTACTTGAAACTACAACAGCTCCTGCAAAGACAGAAGAGCAAAACTTTAGTATTGATGACGAGTTGAAGAAAACCTTTTAACACATTAGACAACAGGCATCAATTTTCAAGAGAATCTATCAGGATAACCACGAACAAGTGGGCATCAATTCCAACAAGATTGTTTCAAGTTAGTGGTGAAGGTGAGAGCAAATCAAGGACTGGGCTTCGGACCACAACCCACGAATCGACCTAAAAACACTCCCCACGTTCTAAAATACCCAATTAAGTACATGCTCAGCTCGAAAAAACCCAACACCGAAAATGTCACCAAAGTGCCAATTTTGCACAACGAATGAGAGAGATCATGCAAAAACCAGCTCCAAAAAAGAAACTTCCAAGAAATAGCAATCTGCCAAGGCTACGAAGCTTACCGACATGAAACCCATCAATTAGAATTTGAAAAAGTTTCCAGCAAAAAGCGGGAGACTTTACATTGAACCGCTTGAATAGATTAACAAGAGAAGAATGGGAGTTTCAGGAACGGGGACGGAGGAATCTCTTAATACCCACCTAGTTGATGCCCTAATTGCACCTCCTCTTCTCCCCCTCCTCCCTCTCTCTGACAGGCATAGAGAATCAAAACAGGAACGATCACAGCAACACCAACAGTGTCTCCTTCATTTGCAGAAAGAGAGCACTATATCCCCGCAGTGGCAAAAGTCAAGAACAATCCCACCTCAGCAAAATAACCCCGACCCAACAAAGACAACCAGAAAAAACACACGCACAAAATATACGAAAACCGGAAAAAAAAACACGAAAGGAAATCCTACTCTCGAAAAGATGAGCTGTTCCTCTCCTTTTGACAGCCACAAGAGCTACATACTTCACTGCTCACAAAAAGCCAAAGCCCCAAATGTTCCCCTCCTCCTCCTCCTCTCTCTCTCTCTCTCTCTCTCGTGCTTGGTCTCTCTCTTAACTTTCCTTTGAATCAGCACCACCGGCCCGACCACCACCACTTTTCTCTCTATCTCTCTCTTCTCTCTCCCCCTCCCCCTATTCACATCTCCGGTTTTTTTCACCACCCATAATATAAATGCTCGAAACTTTTCAACGCTCCGCAAATATTAAAAGCCTTTAAATCATCTTCCCTTCTTTCCCATTAGCTCGCCTTGCAAAGATGCGTTTTTTTATTGTCATCCTCTTAAAGATGAGAACCATGAGGACCCCACTCACTCTCTCACTTTTTCTCTCCCTCTACAAAGCAATGCACGCCAATCTGACAGGGATAACTTTGTTGCCCCCTGCGAGATATACAAGCTGACTATCCTCCGTTATGGAGAGAGAGAAAGAGAGCAGGGACTGTGTACCGGAAAACGACCCATCCACCTCTCTCGTACTTTGATAATAATGGCATCCATCTCGTTTTTTCTCTCGAACCCTTCTGTTCTTGTATTGTGTCGTTCGATTCCGTCTTCGGCTCCGGTAAGATAAAAGAACAGCTACGGTTTCATTGCAGCCTTGCGTGCTTACATATATCAAACTAAACGTGCGTATCGTGGTCGAACCAAAACCATCTTACGTTTTGGTTCCACGATGATCCTTCATGAGTCCACCATTCCAGATGTGCTTCGTAAGCATCAACTCCTTGTGCATTCCGAAGGATCTGAAAGAACGCCTCCGCGGCTGAAGAAGATCGATACGCATTCATGCGGTACTACCGATCGGAGGACCGGCAAATTATGGAAGTCGTATATTATAGATAACCATTGTGCTTAGAAGGGTGGCTGTCAATCATGATAAATAACAAAAGTTCTGAATATTCAAAGAACCACTTCTAAATACAATTTATAGACAATACTAATTTCTCGTTCTTTAATTATATTTCTCGATTTTTTTAAGCAATACCAATCACACAAATTAGTATGAACTTATGAAAAAGCAACGTGAATAGTAGAAATTGAGATTACTTTAAATGTGGTTGTAAAGAAAAGTTATGATTAAGTTGAAGAGAAACTAATTATTTTGGAAATTAAGAAATTGTAAATCAAGATAGTGCCAAAAATTATAAAAAAAAATTGGCAATGTTACATAATAAATTAAGTAAAATAAACAGGTTAGGTGAGTTGGGTGAATATAAAGTTAAAAACATTAGAAGGAGGGCTTAAGGAAACAACGCGTCCTTCCCAAAACCTTCCTTTTGTATATCTTTATAGATAGAAGATCATCAGCTGATTAAATACAATGTTTTATCTAATCAAGGTACGACGATTAAACTCGAGTTAATCATGTCAAACTAGATATGATATCTTTGTTAACTATGTTCAATGAGCCAACACCATTTTATATGGAAGTGATGGACATAAATATAAATAGCTAGTCTAAATATTATTCGTTTCTATTTCACAAAGATGGACTGAAGAACGCCATGTAATTTCAATGTGAACATAACTAGGATAAATCTAAAATATCCAGCGTTGAAGCCATGCTTTCCACATAGCAATACACCGTGTAGAGTAAATATACGCAATCACCGATTAGTGTATTCTGGATACATAGGGTATTTATTAATATAAACTCATATATAATGAAAAATACGGTGTATAGGGTACTTAATAATAATTTGTTGAAGAAAAAAAATTTTAAAAAAATTAAAAAAGAAGAAGTGTTAGGGCAAGAATGAGAAAAATTGGTCACAATAGAAATTTGAACAAAAAATATAAACATGGTTTGATTGATTGTATAAGATTTATGTTATGTTGGATCTGCTACCTTTTTTTTTCCTTCAATGAGGATACATAAGTTCAATAGCTATAACATTAGACTTCTTATCATGTGCAAGTCTGGTATGGAAAACACATAAAGTAATTTCCATATGTTTTAGTACTTGAAAAATTGAACAAATTAAAATAGAAGGCAAAAAGAAAAAGGAAATCAGAATAAACCCACATGAAAAATCCATTAATTAGTGGACTATATAATTATATAGAACAATTAAAAGGTAAAATTAGAGGGGGGAAAAAAGCAAAAACAAAAAGTAAAAAGGAGAGAGATGAGAGAGAGAGAGAGAGAGAATGAGAGAGAGAGAGAGAGTTGATGGATCAAAAAAGCATAGACAAAGGGAACGACAAAAGGAGAAAAAAAAGAAAAGTGAAGGATTACCCTCCTTTAATCATATTTTATAGATAAATAACATATGTGTCTAATGTACATTTTAGGATTAGTAAGCGAAAACGGCGCGAAACTTCTTTCACAATTTCAAAGTGTGCTTGATTGTTGCTTCTTTAATTGATGAAGCACATGATTCGATCACAGAGGCCTCCAATAATTAGGGTTACTAGAAATTGAAACCTATGGAGATTCTCACAACTTTATTGTCTCTCAAAATCATGTGTTTAGCACCCAATTCTCGTAAAAAGAAACTCTCAGCGTCACCAAGAAGTCTTGCTACCTCGAAAATAAAGTTCCCTTGTTGACTCGGACATGTTAAAACTCCATATATTTATTCGAAAACTTGCAAAGTTTTTGGGATGAGCAGGAGAACAATCCTCGAGCCATGGTTCCACACGGGGTGCCATCTCAAGCTCGGTGGAATGCTCGTTTCTTGAACGGTGTCCACTGAGTGTTCGATTCGAATGGTGGATCTGGGCCACCTAGCTTCGTGGACGACGACGAGTTTGTCTTCATTCGGACATTTGCACAGTTCATTTCGAGTCGTACAATAATTTAGAATTTTAAAAGTTAAGACACATTCAACAAATCTCAGCTTGGTAGAAGAGATATAGTCAGTTCAATAACATCTATCTACATTTTGGGAGATAACGTGGCGCTATAACAAGTGTAATATTCAAATTACATCCTTAAATTAACATAAGTCCTAAACTTTTGTGCAACCATTCTCAACTCTAAAAGATCAATGTCTTAATTTGTGCTTTAGCGCTAGCTCTATATGTTTATAGCATGCCTTTTTGTTTGTGGTTTTTATAAAACAAAAGGCAACTTTTTACTTTCCCGCCAAAATTAACGCATTCACATAAATTTTTACATTTTATTTTTTACTTAATCCAAATCTTGCATCGGACACACTTTGACTTTATTTGTTTCATAACCCCTGAAAATTTCACAATATACAAATTTTGACATGTAAATTTACATATAATATCCTCATACTTGTTTGAAATTTGGATTATGTTATAAATTCTGGCAGCAAAGCCAAAAGTCGATTATTGGCGTGTTTTGCTTTTGTTGAAGCTTAATAAATACACCCTAAAAGATTATATAAATTTTAAAAAAACTGAGAAAATATTTATGATTTCACTTGTCCACATTTATATATTGTGAAAATGGTAGGACGTTTTCGAGCTTAATAAAAGTCAAGGCCCATCCGCTGCAAAATCTTAATTAATTAAAAAAGCAAAAAGTAAAAATTCATCTACCCATGCATATTTCTAGTAAGTATTTCGATCTAAAAACTTAATATTTTGAAATGGCTATTGGATCAGTTTGTTCGATGAAAAACCATTTGGCATAAAGTGCTTTTCATGAACGGAAAATGATAAATTTAGATTTTGAAGAAAACGACTTTCATTTCTAGTACGAAGGAAACCATTTTCTCCGAAACCAAAGTTTAACAATACGATATGCCTTTAGTGGATTTCACTTATTATTAAAACCCATTAAACTGATTTTTTTTCAACTTGTTTTTTGCACAAACAAACGTTAGAAAATGGTTTACTTTCTATAAAATTGAATTTCTTGAAAATACGTTTCAGAAGTTTTCGGTGAAACTAATGGATCCTATATCCCAATTAAAGTGATATTAGCCAACAACATAAGGAAAGTACAATTGTTTATGATCACTCTCATTCGAGAGGGCATAGAAAACAGCAAATGGTCAAGAGTGAAAGGGAAAATACTCAAAAGAGAAGCAGAAGAAGAAAGGGGAAAAGCTTCCCTGGCGATTTAATGAATCAGATGGAGTCACTTTGATATGTGACCTCGAGAAGTATAACATGATTCAACCGCTTATTTAATTACTTGACCAGTCCAATCAAAATCATGAACCATCTCCCCTTCTTCTAGTGGACAAATAATGACCACATCCTCTTCCTTATCTTTACTTATTTTTTTCACATTTATTTTATCTATCTATCTATTTATTTATTTCTGTTTTTTTTTTCTTTCTTGTCTTCTTTACTGACCCTCACATGCACTGCTCCAATCTACTCCTCCCAATGCCACTAAGCCCCATCAAGAATATGCACCAAATCTCATGGTTTTGGTCATATCCTCGCTCCTTTTAAACACATCCCAATACTAATTCCCAGCTTTTTCCAAATGCTGGAGTTGTTTAATTCCTTGATCAAGAATCTCACCGCCTGCACAAGAAACCCATTTCTTTAAGACAATACCCTCCCTTGCATAATGCTAGTGTCAGTGTGCGAGAGGATCTGCGGCTAGATTGAGATTGATTCCTGAAGAAATGTCGGTTCCGGTCTGTCCTAATCAAAGTTAAAGTCCTGATAAAATTCGGTCACAATCTTTGGGAAAGATCCCACCCACCAACGAGACTGGCCGGATTGATGCAACCAGAGTTTTTACGAATAGAACAGTTCATGCATCGTCAAGTCTCATTCTTTGTACTGCTCCTGGAAGACCAGTGTAGGGTCCTGCGAGGGCAAGGTGGTCCTACAAGGGCAAGCTGGACCTTGCACATTGAATGATTCATATACCTCATCACATTCTCTTGTTGTGGAGATGTATATGCCCACTCAAACAAAGTGGGTTTGGACAATGGGGATGTCAATTT